AGTTTCGTACTGCCGACAGAGCCTTCTTCAAAAGCCCTATAACACGAAGGCTCGATAAATACCTGGGTAACATAGAATCTAAGATGATAGAGATAGAGTACTATCACCCCCTGCCCCTCATCAGAGTGTATGGGTGTAGATACGAATACCTGTATAGACTAGCAGATAGACTCGAGGAGATCGGGAGTAAGCCTCTTGCTGTGGCCACAGCTGCATTATCAGAGCTAGACTGTCTCTTGGGGTTGTCCAGAGCCAGTCGGGAGCACGGCTGGACCCGCCCAACAGTGGTGCGCTGTCATCATTCTCCAACAATGCTCCATCTTGCATATATCAGGTGCCTCCTTGTACTAACGATCGTGGTGAAGTCGTCATGAAACTTACCGGGTCGTGGCATCCTCTTATGTCTGACGCCACCACAACAACAGCTACTAGTGGTGGCAGAATCGATAACAGCCATTCAGTGGTCTCCAATGATATACTCATAACCTCAGACTGCCGTACCCATATACTAACAGGTCCGAATTACTCTGGCAAGAGTGTTCTACTTAAACAGATAGGCTTAACGGCAGTAAGTCGAGAGTCAGGTCCAAGTGAGGGAGCCCAGCGGCGCTGTTCGATCAGTTCCTCTGCCATTGTGGTGTGTATGTTCCAGCTAAGCAATGCCGCATGCAACTCCTAACACAACTCTTCGCCAGGATGGCTAGCTCCGATCAGAGGATACCAAAGTTCGTTAGTGCTGGGGAGAGAAGGCAATTAGAGGACATCGTCAGATCAAGCACCCTCCTCTCAACCTTCACCAGGGATGCCCATGAGGTGAGCCTCCTCCTGTTGGCTCGCTGGAGGGTATCTACCCCGAACGGGTCGCCTTAGCCCTCACACTGCAACTGCCCAGTCGGGGCAATGGATTGTCTCCGATTAGGTATCTGTGGCGCTTGCCAACTGTAGCCGTACTTCTCTGATACTATTGGATGAGTTTGGTAAGGGTACATCCCCTATTGATGAGGTTAGTCTCCTTTCTGGTATAGTCAAGTATGCTTCTATTGACTTGAACATCAACGCGCCCACTCTATTACTCACTACCCATTATGCTACTGAGTTGTACACTTGGGGGCTCATCAAGACCCCTCAGCAATGTGTTGATGATGGCGACCAACAGATGAAGAGGCAGAGGAAACACGCTGTTGGTAAGGCATTGCCATGCCGTTTAGCTGTTGTACCACCCAAGGACCGCGGTGCCTCGGTCGTGTATCTGTATAAGCTGGAGCGAAATAGGTATTCACAAGCATCGTACCCTATACAATGTGCCGTGGCTAGTGGTGTATGCTCTAGTGTCACTGATAGAGCTGCCGAGGTACTCGAATCCATAAGGTCTGGCAAACCCTTGGCCAAGCCTCGAGACCCCGACGAGGGTACCCATCAACCAAAACCCCATGATATGACCGCCGATCGAGGCAGCAGTGACACCCTAACCCATATACTGCTCACCTTCTCTCAGCTAGACCTCTCCTCTGGGTTAAATCAGGGTAATCGGGCAGCATTGCAGAGTATACTACGTCAACTTCGGCCGGGAGCTACAGCGGAACCACGCCTCGCTCTTTCGCGTCCTGATGCAATTCGTAGTGACATCGTACTCCCTCCAGGCAATAGGCTGAGATTGGGCGTGGAGGGATCCCATCCACACGAACGGACCGACAAAATGCCATCCTCCATCGAGGGCTGGAGTGTCCTGATAGATGAGGACCTATTTACGACTAGGCAAGGCATCATTGGCAATGGTGGTTCTTGAAGTTTCTCGCTTCCTCTTTCATTCTTAGTAGCTTTGTAACCTCGTATCACGGCAACATGCACTGTGGTGTGTTTTACTGCTACATCAGGAGACTCGTGTTCTGTTAGAAGTGGAAGTAGTCAAGGCTTCACCTCCAGTGAGGACGATACACAGATCATGCCTTCCTGCCTCAACTATTGGCCGTAACATCGGCAATACCATCGTCAATGGCCCCCCCCCGCAGGTTTTACTCCATTAGGTAGCTGCACACACACCACGCTAACCTTATTGTGCCAATGTAAGTGCCCGCAACGTGCCATGTTTGACTGTCGTATTTGAAATTTGTGAGTCCCACCGATGGTTTTGTCTCCTCCATTACTTATCTGGACTTGAGCTGATGAGTGATTACCCCGTAATGGATGGAAGTGAATGGTCAGAAAATCTTTCACAGACAACCTTCACTTCCACGTACCCTATCATTGGTAGAATCCATGAAAATGAAATTTGGTAGCCTCTACCAACTTCCACCTATTATTTTCGGCGTCAAGGTGTCACTACCTTACATGAGTATCACAGTATCACATGGTAGTATTTACTATCGGCACATTACCTTTGGTTCTATCGCATATTTCGCTAAACTTCCACAATAACTAATGCCAACGCAAAACATCCGTGGTTGATGAGAAAGTAATACTGGTGTGTTTTATATCAAGTCATATCACTCATAAGCGACCACAAGTGGAATTAAAATGGCCTCTCGACAATATCCAGCAGTCGTCTCTCATTCACTGTCAAATCACCAGAAGATAGTCCACGAGTCGACCTTCCAACTTGGTCAATCATCCCATCAACAGTGCAGGGACATCTGCTATCATCTGGGACTATCTGCCTCAGATTGCATGCTAATAAGCAAGCACAGCGCGCACGGAGTTCATTCGATAGGCGACGGGCCCAAGGACCATCATGAACGACATGACGAGCGGCCACATGGAGACGAGCGAGATAAGGACCATTATAGTAGATAGGGAAGCTCCTGCACTTTCCCAGAGAGAGCGCCTCCAGTAGGGCTATCGCGGTGTTTAGTTGTGGGCCAATGTCTCCAGCCTTATCCAGAACATGATGTACAAAAGCTATCCTGTTGAGCACTTGTAGGACACTAGCATACTCCAGCATAACAATCCCTTGGTCAAACTGTAGTTCTACCGCCGACTCAGCATCGCCATTAACATTGCAATAGTCTTCATCTGCAGTAAAATCCGCCGGGCTCCATTCACAACCATCCCACACCGCATGGGCATCTTTCATAACCTTGCCAGTGACTGATATCTCAAACTCGCACTTTGTGAGGGGTACCTCGCGACCGCTGACCGGCACCTGACTCGAAGAAATCAACGCCTCTGGAGAAACTGATATGATCACCTTCACTCGTCCGCTATCATGGCCTTCGATAACTCTGTTCGATACGATTCGGAAGGCCACTGAGTGTTTTGGTAGAGCAATTCCTAAGACAAGCAACACTTGTTTACGATTGTTGTGCTCCAATCTACTACCATCATCACCATCATAGGCTCCTGTAGCAAGTAGGTTCATGAAGCTGGTACATGTCGTTGCAGTAGTGGCGGTATCACTACGAGGAGTAGCTTTCACCTCGAACTTTCTGGGCATGGTCAACTGATACAGGAATCATATAGCGTTGAGTAGAGTAGACTCCAATACTTCCTTATCCACTCCGGCACCGAGACCTGGGTAATCGTCCAATAGATCCTTGTCTTGGTCTCCTTTTTCTAATTCTATCTCTGCTATATCGGCTTCCGCTTTCACCTGATTCACGACTGATCTCTTCCACTCTCTAACGAAGTAGTCATCATATGGTCCGGATACTCCCTCCAACTAAGGCCACCACAACCACCATAGATTACTACTACCCTCTTCAAGCCTACCTCCTTCTGAGCTGACATCAGCTCTTTACGTAGCTCATCAGCTCTCTCTGCTAATTTACTCATCTTCGGTCCATCATCGTTCAAGTAGAGGTAGTTTTCCGTTAGTCTATTGAGCACGTTAGCTAATAGCTGACTAGATGCCTCTGCAGACTTCCCAGACAAGTCGCGAGTGATGACCAGGTGGTAGGCATCCTTCGGGATGATCAAACCTCTGTCCTTCTCTCGGGGTATGCCCGACTCCACCATAACGACATCGCCAGTTGAATTATTGAGGCTGTTGTCATCAACGTCGGTATGGACATCATTACCGCTACCATCTACTTTGCCATTCCTAAAACACATGCCGCGTATAGTAGTAGTTAGTAGTAGTAAGAAGAAGAAATTGCCTCGAACCTTACTCATTATGGGTGTCTCCATCCATAGGAAGGAACACCATCGGGGAAACACGCCAGAAGTTGACATCGTTATAGGTGTCGTCCTCAGAGTCGGAATAATCCATTTCAAGCAGTATGAAAAAAGGTGTGGAACTTGCCCCTCAAGTAACGTTGCCATGACAAAACACCGCAAGGGACCCCGGCACGACAGTTAGGCTACTAATGCCGCTATACGTCATGATCATGCTCCCGCTTCTCATGATGACGATGATGATGACGGTGAAGATGCTCCTGCCGCTGCTGCCTGTACGAAGATAGCTTCCGTAGAGGAGCCACACCAGATCGGTGATCCTCCCGACTAGTAGCCGACGCTACTGCCGATGTGTTACTGCTAGTCGGAACAGCATCTTCATGTGCTGCTGAGGTCGATTCAACAACAGGGGGAAGACTCCTGAGAGTGTAGCGGTCTTGAATGGGGTCACGTGTCTACTCCTCTACCTTCCTATGCTGTTGAGACCATCATCACTAACGGTTCCATCTGATGCCTCTGGTGATGAGAGTACCCCATGCAACGCCAGTTCCTCGAGGAAAGAGGTCCTCGGCCGATGATCCGTGCTTACCTAGGGGGGAGCATAGTGAGGTGGGGGCAGGATTATTCCAAGACCTACTCTCTCCGGGCTCGAGGGCTGATGATGAGGATGAGACTGCTCATCTTGGTGGTGGTGGTATCCACTCTTCCTCAGTATTCGATTGAACGACCGCGATGACCTCGGCAGATCAGCACTTTCCTCCTTGATGCTTCTCAACTAGAGAACGATGAGTCAGCCTTTACACATGCTGCTATAATGACCAAATCGAACTCCCTAGCATGGGAGCTAGTGATCATCCTCTCGGCCTCTGCTAACTTCTTCCTCAAGTCCTCTACCTCGACTTCCAACGTCTTCACCTTCTTGCTGCTGCTATCATCATCAACGCCCCTCTCCTAACCTCATCACCATACACAACAGAAGATCGACATTCCAATAGTACTACTACCCTGCCGCCCGATGACATCACCTTCCTCCTCATGCTCTCGTCTATCGCCGCTATCCCCTCTGCAGCCTGTCCATCAATGAAGTACACTGAACATACGTAGCATACTACCTCTATAAGAAGTGCACCACATTCCTTAGGCCTGTGCAACTGCTGTCCTGCTTCAGTAAGGAGACCAACTACCTTCCGTAGGCTTTCACTCACTACACCATAGGTGGTCATGGAGCCATCAGTAGCAGTAGACCGAGTATCTACACAAGAACTGCCCCCCGCCGGTAACAGACATGCAGTATCACTCGATAGCTCTGCCTCTCTTAGAGCTTCCTCTAGTGACTGTACCTAAGTGACCATCGGATAAGAGTGAAAAGTGATGTTTACCTTTTTCTGAGCTTCCGCCAATGTCCTACTCCTCTCCTTCGCTCGCCTCTTCAATGCAGCATTCTCTAACTCTAAGGCATGTACTGCTAGTTGCAACTCCATTACATCAGATGGATGGTCAAGACCTGTGACCATGTTCAGTGTAAGGGTCTGTCTACCTTACTGTCCTTACCAAGGCCCTCTAGAAGTGTACTACCATACCCCTTCTTATCGTTCTCCCCGGCTGGCTTAGTAATATCTACTCCTACCAAGCCCCTAGCAGTCTGGGGATATAACACGGCCATCGAGGGAGGCAGAGGTAAGGGCCCTGATGAAGGTGGTCGAAGCTGCCCCGAGGGGGTAACAGTAGATTGATGATCAGCTTGGCGGCCTTCGGGAAGGATGATGATGTCAGCTGGTGGCGAATGGTTGGTATACCGAGTAGCAAAACTATGTCCATCTCGCCGCGATGTCGACTTGTCGTTAATTGGTGTTGAATGGGGGTGTGAGGAGGTAGCCGGAAGCATCGCTGGTTGGGAGACGGAACGACTAACCTGGTGGGATGTAGACCCAAAGAGGGGCATGACGGGAGGTAGGGATGGTAGGGGGCCGAACCAGGTGGGATGCTGGTACTCTTGGTACGACGACGATGATAGCCGCCGCCGTTGCTGTTGCTGCTGATGATGATGCTGTAGTAGTTCAATGGAGTGACCTATACAACGTGGACAGACTCCCCTATTAGGCATCCTATACGATACTTACTACTAGCAGAGTGGCCGCCTAACTGACGAGACGCTTCAGCAGCAGAGTAGTGGCGGATGGGATTAACTATGGATAGCTTGCGGAAAGGACTACATAATGAGGACGGGGTTGTTGGAGTAGACATACCTCTACATAATAACACCACCACCACAATAACACCTGTCCCATTATCACAGTACCGTCATCGACACAACATCGTTATCTAGAAAGTTGCCGCCCTAGTAGTAGTTATGATGAGCATCCCTATATCATCAACGATTGCAGTCATGTCGGCCTCGATGCGGCCCTTCAGATACACCAGAGGCCAGGTAGGAGCAAGAAGCCTTGCACTGACGTCATGGATCTGTTTGCCATCCTGATGTACTTATAGTAGAGGAGCGGCTGATTTCGGTTGGTAGTGATATCAAGAGTATCTCTGATGGCAGCTAGGATTCGACTATCAAAATATCACCATGTCCAGACCCAATTTACCATGATGGTAACACGAAGCAGGCAACATGTGAGTATGGAGTGAAATGGTTGGCGTCAACGACACCTAACCAAGAGTAAATCTCACAGGACGGATGGACCTATACATGAACACCAACCGTACTAGGGTGTCTGATGACACTCTAACGGAGATTTAGACTCCATAACGATTGAGTAAGTGTAAACGCACGAAAAAGGTATACTACATATCGTAGTAGCTACTGAGTAGCACTGATATGTAGGAAATCGTAATCAGAATAATATCACAGCCAAGTATGAGGCATATGTTCGAAGGTAGTTGATAGGACAGTAGCAGACTGCTTCTCGTCTTCTACGTAAAGATGAAATGAGATGTATCGATGTTTAGGAGTGCTACAAGCGGGGATTAATACTCCTGTTCATAAGATCACTGCACGGGGACTCCACCGTATTTGTTGGGTTTTAATATATCTCTTACGAAGGCCTTCATGTCTTCAACAGTGGCTATCACGGACTTAGCAGCGACTAAGGCTTCTCGATCACGAGTAGCAGCCTCAACGTTTCTCCTCAACGGACCGTACACACGACGTTTCTCGACATATATGGTACTAACGAATCCGTGAGGGTTCTTCCATACACCAATAGGAGCATCCTAACTCTTCCCTCTAACCCCATTAGTAGTTCTATCTGAATGATGCGGTGTATCTAGCAATAAAGTGTCAGTGGTAGTAGTAGGTACGGGAGGAGCACCAACATGATGATGATCATCAACACTGGTAGACATATCTGAAAGCAACAACGATGGCAATCAACACGTAGCTGTAGGAGTTTACCTGACAACTTCTGTGAAGCTATGCTACTCGAGGCCAATAAAGGGACATAAGTCCTACTACAAAGTTCTGGATAGGCTGTATCATAAGCAATAGGTGTTGATAATGAGAAATGTTGCCACGATGTATCGAGGGCGATCTTACTAAGATCATCTTAGTATCAGTAGACTGTGTGAAATCGCTGAGGTCATCCCCACTGGCTTCATGACATAGACGTTGGCTAATAGCCAAGGCCTCGCGTGCCTGCCGGATACCTGAGAAAGGATCCATCTCGTGAATACACAACTAGGGAACAGCTGCTTACACATGTCCCTACGATGAGCTCCAGGATTGTGTATAAGATCTAATAGTCTACAGCATGCTTCAGTGAGTATAGCATTAGCCTCATATAATGCTCGGGACGTCGTCGTGGTGCTATCGCCTCGACGATATCGTTGACGTCGTAAGTCATTCACAGCGGGCAGCATTCTCCTTGGAGACATTCTCTACGTTACTGCGCATCACGCGGCGTGATAGGGATTCATACCGCTCCGCTATTATCCTTAAGCGCTCGCCCTAACTTGACTAACTGTGACTAACTGGGACTCTTTCCTTCACACTCTTGATGTTCATTGCGAGGGAACGTCCTTACTGATTTAGCTGCTGACGAGCAAACCCCTAACTGTCACTGAAGATTTGCATCTACTGTAAGGGAGGTCCCGAAATCACGACAAGGTGATTTGGAAGATGTCTACAACAGCGAGTAATAATGACACAGAGATCAACGGCAGAGGCCCTCTTTAGGGTACTTCTGCTACTCAGGACGCTTGCATGAGCAGAGTATGTCGAATGACGTTCATCGATTGGATTGGCGAGCGCAGTAAGTACCTACTCTTTTACACAAGGGTAGGGACAGTCAGCGGGGAGGGTAGTATGCTTCCCTAGTAGTAGTAGGCATACGTAACCAACCCGAGGCATCACGAAGGGGGTAGGGGTCCTATGATCAGCAAACATATGCGGTGAGTAGAACATCAGTACCAAGGAATACTGCTGTTGTCGTTACCCCACGGTTGTTGGTCACTAGCGCGACTATAACGTGCATGTAACTACTGTTGTTGGTTAAGTTACTTGTTGACCTAGATTATATCTAATGTTTTCTACTACTAACGATCAACGCCAGCAGCAGCAGCAGCAACACGAAGAAGGACAGCAGCATCTCCAGCTCCAACAGGGATTTGGTATTCTGCAGGCGTCGTCGTCTTCTGACCCTCAACACTATCAACAATCTATTACTGCCACTTCTCCACTGACGACAGCACGCCCATCACTTACACTCAACTTTGATGATGATAATGATCTACTCCAGTCGCCTTGTGACAGTCCTAAGCTCACTCCACGTAAGTTGGGTAGTGCTCCTTCTCGCTGTAGTGATGATGCTCTTAGCGTTCTTAGCTCTCATCACGCTACGGATAGTAACTGTCTATAGGTCTACGATGCGTGTTTTGCTTAGCAGCAATATGAGTATCCACCTTTGGGACGGCGTTATGTTGTCTTCTTTCAGCGAGTCCAGCAACAACTGCATCTACTGGCTTGGAGTGCTCATCACTGAGTGATGATAGTGGATATAGCACAAGTGCAAGTAGCAGTAATTTCTGTAGTCTAAGCCCTCTACCGGCAGCACCTGCGCCTGCATCTCCATTATCAACAACCACCACCTCGGTGGGAGCACTACCGCCACCACCTCCCACAAGTGGACCTACCCGGACTAAATCTGAGAAACTTGAAGTGGAGAATGCTGTCTTAACTAACGCATGTTTAGGCCTCTTAGAGCTGCTTAACAGCCAACGAGGAGCAGGAGGAAGCGGCAATTCAGGTAGTGAGTGGCAGTTAGGTGATGATGATGACCTTATGTGTATCTTTTTAGAAGCTGCCAATGCTGCATATAATGCACTGCTTTCCCGTGTGAATACTAATTCTGCTATCCCTACTGCAGCATGCACGTCAAACAATGTATATACGCCAAGCTTGAGCCCGTGCGATAGCATATCTGCGTCTGCTTTTGCAACGGGTGCTACCGCTACTACTACTACTACTTCCACCACCAATACTGATTATCCTACTATGTCTACTAACTCCATTGGTAATCTCCAAGCGCCACAATACGGCAGTATGATGCCGAACAGTCATCAGCAGCAGCAGCAGCAGAGCAACAAGCAAGTACAACAACAGCAACCCACTCTCGCTGCGCCCATGCCGACATTTACCTTCCCAGGAGGTAGTACTTACTAGTTGAGTCTTACACTGTTGTATTGATTGTATCTTTGGTCAGCCACTGGTATCCCGCGATCATCGCAAGTGGGGGGTCGATTGAATAACCTTGGTAGCAGCAATGTTGGTACGAATATGAGCTGTTATGGTCGGAGAAAGAGTTATGGCGCGCCCCCTGGTGTTTGGAGAAATCCTTATGGTTATGTAAGTACTGTATATGTAAATAAGAAAAGAGTTTATGGCCCGTTGAGGAAGACCATAGAGGATGCCTCAAGAGACCGTGAGGCGATGGTCCAAGCTAAGGAGTATGTCACAAGTGTTGAAGAGATGAGAGCTTTCGTGCGTGAGTTCCTTAAACCAAATCCGCATGGTGGTGTCGCGGAATCGGCAGTTCTCCCCAACCTACCGGCTTTGGAAGAAGAAATGCTAGTTACTCTTTAATGCTCCTCCTTAACGTTTCTCATCGTCTCTTCACTAATTTTGCTAGTTCCACCATACTTATAGTACTCCCTAATGTACTATTGGTTTCTACCTGGCCGTAAGCTGCCAACCTGTCCGTTTAGTTTTTTCGCATGCTATTGGGGTACTTGTGTTGTAGTCACTTGAGTTTATAGCGATACGCGTGATATGTTGCATACTAGTCTGTTCCTGCTAAACTTAAGTGTGAATAATCACTGCTCCGAGGAGTTTTTCACAAGTGTTTAATACGGGTTTTGGCAATATATGAGGTCTACTTGAACCGTAGAGCAAACAAGTATCATACTCCTGAACGCGTAGCTTCTTCACATACAACGCTCATGGTGAATTCCTCCAGAACCGCGGCGTCCAAATAAGTTCTCAACGTGATCCGAGAAGCTATGTTTCCACCGGTCGGTGTTTCGAGCGTATGCTAGCTGACTCAGCTAAGTTGAGTATGGTTGAAGCTCCGACTCAATATAGCTCGTTATGGCATCAAACCCCGCTCGCCATGCAACTCTAGCCTATATTGTGGACTCTAATCTTTAGAATCGTTCGACGAGAAGGTAAGAACTCTGAAGCACAGCTTCTTGCGCAGCTTGTGCAGCGCATACCAGACGTTAGCCTTCAATTACTACAGCGCTCAAGACTCGATTCTCAACACCTGACCTTTGATGGAGTAGAAACAATCAACGTACAGCTGCTTACAAGTGTCGATCATTTGGCACATCAAAGAGTCTCACACTTGTCGAAGAACCAGTACTCAGAACTGAAATCATCAAAACACTCATGCTGGCGAATGTGTAACAATCTGGAGCTCGTTGAAATAGCTGACCAATTTCCCACCACAAATTCTTGACCTAATAGGTTCAGCCTAACTCAGACACTGAGTGATTCAGATCAGCCCTGGCCGAGCATCGTGATTCACGCCTTCGGAATCTTGAACGCGAACGACTCGGATATCTTTGTGAAACGCTAGGGTACTTCCCCTGATATTAGTGATAATAACATTGGAATACGTGATCAAGGCTCGGATGATAGTGTACTTGTGGTTCTTGCTTCCAAAGCAGTGGTTTGACGTAAGTTTGGCGATGGTAATCTACGTCGTCAATTGTCACTCTGTTGCACCAGTTCTTCATAGTACGAATGGCATAATACCATGTGTCCGCACCGACCCCTTTGGCATGTGCTTCGATGAGCTCAAAGGTACCGAGGAAACCTTCAGACTTCCGATCAGTACTTGTGCTTCAGAGATGTGGTATGTCTTTCATCGCACATGAATCCTACGGTCTTACGGTATCCTCCACGCGGAACCCGAAGAAGTAACATTAACTACAGAGAACAAAGAGCAACCTCGTAGTCAATCTTTTATTGATGAAATCCCAAGACGCTACCTCAGGAGAGGCGACCACACTTGCAACATTAGTTCAGCCGTGAGGTCATACGATGACGAATGATGAAGTAACTCTCGAATGAGCTAATACATGCCAGTAAGCGAATGCAACTATAAGCCCGAAGAGCTATAGACTCCCATGGGACAGAATAATGAAAAAAACTTAGCTGGTTACTCAGCACCAACTGTACCTTAGTATTAATACATGAGGACATGTATTTGCACAGACTTGAGTTGTGATAGAAAGAGATGCTCAATACTGCTTTAGCGAGCACACTGAGGGAAGCCCACCGGATATTGAACAACAATAAATGACAGCGTAGCCAACGAGCAAATGCTCGAAGTATTACTATTAATAAAGTATAAGGAAAGCTTTTCCTGCAGACAGTGCAAGCGCTACTTCTTGGGACTGCGGGTTGAACCCAAAATGTATTCGATTCAACAATGTCAAGACGACATCATTTAACTCATGTTGTCACATGTTGACATGTAACGACGCTTACATAGGTGATGCATCCACTGTAGTATGATGAGAGCTTTGTGACATGTGCTCGACTCGGCCGATTTCCACCCGACACAAGGGACATCTGTGGTACAATGTGCCATTGCGGGGGAATGAAGCAAACAAGAGTTGGATGCAATCAGCGTGGTATTCATGTCCACACGGTAGCCTAACTATCTCATCATCGAATGTATAGTCAAAAAGGCATATCGCACAAGGTTCTTCATCACCCGTGAGGTCGGAACCATGGAGGTCTTCGCAATCCTTCTTTAACCATTCATTCCATTCCTGATGCAAAGCAGCGATCTCACCATCATCAATCTCTCCATGAAGAGGCCGCCGGTTGACCATATCTAACCGTTGGTGTTCGTCTCGAACTTCGACGTTGTGAGCATATTGCATGATCAATAGGGGAGGCACAACACCACAGATAATGATATAAACTAGCAATACATAGCCTTGACCAGGGATCGTCATAAGGATACCAACGGCTGCACAAAGACAGGCTATGAGCCAGCCTAACCACAGACCCAGATAACGACGTTGAAAGGCTGGATGGACTCTGGAGAGCCGCAGAGACATATGTAATGAGAAGGCACTACGTGGATCATATCTTACCACTGTAGCAAACACAATACCACACATAGTAGTGCTGATAAAAGGAATGCAGCAAGGCTACCATTAACCGTCCTAAGTTACTCTCAAGCGGCTCCGAGCAGACACTCGTCAACCAATTGGTTATAGTAGAAGAAAAAAGGAAAGGAGAAAGCTGACGTCATTAATTGAAGTGGGTATGTTTTTAAAAATACTAGCTATTGTATTGAAATTTCGGTTAATAAGTTAAAATCAGTCGGTGAAAGATTAGAAAAGGGGTATCTTTTCGAAAGAAGTGGTTAAATTATTAAATATTCGGGTAAAATGTTAAATTGATCTGGAAATGCTGTAGTATAACAACTAGAGTAATCGAATGTTACGGCAGATGAAATTTGGGAACTTCGGAGCGGCAGTAGCATGGGGAATGCTCGCAGCAGAACCCCTACGGTAGCTACTCGTTTCTCATCATCCAATCGACACATTGAACCGTCACTTTGCAGTATCTTCACGTCTGCGAGGTAGAGACACCGGCCGCTGAAAGAAAATGATCATACCTTCTCCGTCGGTGCCCATTTGAATTAAGAACCATAAACTGAGAAATGATGAGGGTATTACTGCCAGTCTTCCTCTGACACTCCAAGCATTCTATTTCCCTTCGGACAATAACACAAGGCGATCTTGGGGAGGATAAAGGTGAGATAGAATGACCGTTGATGCAGTCGAACACGATTCTACAGATACGGTCAGATGCCGTTATAACAGAGTATCGAGAGTGGTGGTATGATGATGATGATGCTCAATGGGGCATCACTACCGTAGTGACACTACGACAGCTATAGAAATACCAAGATAGAATGAGATGAATCATTAAGGGAGGGTGAGCGAGTTCGATGACTCAATCACTCATCCAAGGGAATCAGTGTTGGATCATTATTATTATTATTATCATCATCATCATCCAACAACGACTCTGTCTTCACTACTGTGCATGTTCAGCAGCTACAGTAGGCGAAAAAAAGATGAATTGCGCAAAGACCTCTCTTCGGAAGCCCATCCGCTCAGAATTAGTAGTAGTAGTAGACAAGTGATCATTATTCGATAGAGACAAAAGGTCAGAAACGACGGGGGAAGACGGTGCTGGTCGTCATCATCATCCTGCTGCTTATCTTACATACTATACAGTAACATATATGAAATAAAGGCAATGCATAGAGACAACTGCTCAGAAGACCCTCTACACCACTTGTTATAAAGAGGTAACAGTAGTGGTGGTAGTAGTAGGCGGGGGGCTAGCATCGTTTCCAACACTTTCCATAGTCTTGCCTCGCTCAGGCATGAGGACTTCATCACCAAGGCGTGCACGACAGAGGGGACATCTAGGAGCATTGCCATCATAGGACATGGGAGAATCCAATAGCATCTTAATGCATTGTAAATGATATACATGATGACATGGTAATAGGATGAGGACGTCGCTAGGATGATAATCCGATAAGCAGATAGCGCACTCATCTTTACAGTAACATATACATCTTGGATCATCTCCCATCATCCTTTCACAATTGTTCTTCAACCATTTCTCAGTAGCAAGCTTATCATTAGCCAACTGTAACGCTCGATCACGACTCTCCCTCTCCCTCTCAACAGCCTCTCTTTTCTTTATAGTGAAGATACGCTTGATTATAGCAAGAGGAGGGAACACTCCGAAGAAGAAGAGATAGGCTACCAGTATCGGCCATTTCTCACCAGACAGACCAATAAACACTCCCAGGCTGATATACATAACGAGCCAGGCGATCCACATTGCTCTGAACTGGGGAGCCCAGACACCGGTACGGAAAATATCCTTAAAAATTCGAGGATGACCATCCTCAGTATCATGATGATGATGAAGACGACGATGAAGATGTAATATATGACCACTTGACTGTGGTGTAGAGGACGGCAGCTCCATGTTGATACTGGTCGCTGAGGAGATCATATAAAGTTGGTAGCAACCTCCAATATAGAACTGATATTATGCTGGAAAAATGCACTAGTAACAAAATACGGGATAAGCACTACGGTAGAAACGGATAAGGGTGATGACGCTTCCCAACTAAAGGGACCAGGGAACGTAGTACACAGTGATGCGAAAAGTAGGCCACCTTTAGCACAGTATGATATAGGCGCGTTGGATGGAGGATATACATAGTAGAAGTTTAGTAGATAATCGCTGCCATCACGCTTGAGGGGGCTGACGACAATAACACTGCTGAGTCCCGAAGGGAGGTGTACAGAACCTCTCTGTACAGTGGTAACCGAGAGTGGTATGAAGATAGCCTCTAGACTGCTGTTATGGCCAATATACCTCCACAACATACCGACAACACGCTGGAGGGCATGGCAGAATCAATGACTATATTCAACAGCAGAGACTTGATGGAGTAAACGTGGTAGATAATAATGTTACACTGTTGTAGCCTAGGGGGACGTACTCGCTGCTTCATTCGATGGATTAGCGACAGTAGCAGGAAGGACAGAGGGCGTTCCCTCCAGTCCCACCCCTTGGGGACCACCAGCTTCCTCCTCTTCCTCCCTTTCCTTCTCGTCATCATCCCTAACCCTTTTGAGTTCAACCAGAGTTGGACCTAATGCTGCACGGCAAAGTGGACAAACATGATGCAACTTGAAGCCTCGTGGACGACAGGCAAAGCAGTTATCAAAACAAGAGGTATGGAAGGTATGACCACAAGGAAGGCTCCTTGATACCTCTCCCACTTGATACTCTGATAGACATATAGCACATGGCTCATCAACATCACCAGCAGCTGAGGTTGCCTCCTCATTCACCGTAGCAGTAGTAGTATTATCCTCAACCCAGTAGTCCCATGCCTTAAAGAAGCTCTGTGATGTAGTGTTCTCCATAACTGAGTCGATCGTGGAGACCCTAGCTCTACCATTCTCCAAGTCGATAACGCTATCCCTACGGTAAGGGATGGCATTGGAAGCGGATGTAGGGAAGAGTTTCTTGACCATCCTATTGCCTACGAAGAGTGCTACTATAGGTACACCAATGAGGATACACATTAGTATTATCATCAATGGTGAACTTGTTTCCTCCGAATCTGGTGATTCAAATATCCATACTGTGTATGCCACAGCCAAGACCACCCATGCTACCCAGACAACCATGAAACGCCGAGACATCAGTGCTGCTAAATTCATGCTGACAGAGTGGTATAGAAGAGAACAACAACAACAACAACCTGTTTATGATGACAGCCAACCTACTGTAAAGCACCAACACAGGGCCGCCGCCATCCTCATTGAGAAACACTTGTGCGTGGAAAAACGCCATCAATCCTTGTTATGCATACCAATTATCCTTATTGTCTCGTTTTGCAGTATCATGAGTAACTCCCTCACCTCACTGCCCCTAGCATTATCCCTATTAACATCCTCCAAAGGGCGATTCCCCTCCTTACCCACCGTCAACGAAGTGCCAATCAACGATCAAGCCGTATCAACACTACGCTGTCCGTTGTCATGTCTTGGCTCAGGTCGCTGATCTCAGAGTAGTTATCTTCCTCATCCCAACTATCCTTAATTATAAGGCCTTCCAAAACTCATCAATCACTACCATACTACTAACCCCTGGTGATGGTACAATGTTCTCGCTTAGAACAAGAGCTGGAGGTGGGAAGTAATATGATGTACTGTAGGACTGATGAACAAGAGAGCCTCGAGAGTACTGTGACGAGGAGTGTCTCATCCCTGCCAACAAGAGTATTATTACAATAATCCCGCCCCCACAGTGCATTGGCCTCCTGGAAGAGGACCTCATAGACAGATCTCGCTGTCAGGCTCTGGAAACACAGAAGTCGGACTATCCCTTACAACACCCCCCTAGTGCTTGTCGTGTTACAAGGCATGCTACACGAATGCTACTACATCCTTATCATGGTCACGACGGTATCCACTATTTAGACACACCGCTGTATCTCCCGAGGGTCCCTTTGATTACTAACAGCTTGGGATACCCAACCAGTAGTAACAGTGACCATCTCAACATAGGTAGAGTAATACAGTGCTAGCATCTTGGAGGAAACTGCCTGCGATGCCATAGACTTCTTCTTCTGACACAGCTTGCTGAGGAACTAAGAAAAAGAGTCCAAATCGAACTTGCTTATGAACACTAGAGAACACAACCTCATGGTAGTATGCAGTAACAGTAGATCATGGGAAACCATATCGGTACTGAAACGCAGCAGGCTCATGTTACAAAACAATGATCACATAGGTCCTGATGAACTCCCTATCGAGTAATGATGATGTTGATGTTGACGATGCAGTTCAGTCCCGCCACCGTGGACGCTCAGTGGAGCATTCACTATGACAAGAGGAGTTATTGTACCCTTTCCTCGTACGCCACCACCTACTACTACTACCTCCCTGATGATGATGTCGGGGTCACACTAGTAGCACATCCATCACTACGCCTACTATGCCCTCCCTCATTGATGCCAGTGATGGTATATCGATGACGTGTTGGCCTCTCCCTGTCCACATTAGGATAGTCCATAGATCCGGTAGACCTCCTTCTGGTGCCGTCGTTCGGAAGCCCGCCCAAGCCAACCTTGCTATACCCTGTTTTCTTGGGAGGATCAGTCGTGAAGGTGAGACCTGATAGTCATCACAACTGCTACTTATCCATCATGATGATGCCTACTCTCGAAGAGCCGTCTATTGATGGAAGACTCGACATTGAACTTGGGCTGGCTAGCTCGGGAAGGGGTCGACGCTGGCGTGGACCTTGTGGACCCAATGGTTCCCTGAAAGGCCCATTCGAAGTACTTTCTAGGAGAGTTGCCCCTCGGGGTCCGTAAAAGACAGGTAGGTCCATCAATACTGTTGAGCCTATTCACCGACTTTACAGGGCTCATCGTCCTCTCTAGAGTATTACTGTGAACCTGTGAAGCGAGGAGACGATGGGGCACAGATAGGCATGCTACCAACTCCTCAATATTGGTCACGCCTTGTCCTTCATCAATCGATTGACATCCTTGTAGCCCGCCTACCGAGGAGGAGGAGGAGGCAGCTGGGGTGTACTGACCATGAGGTTATACTGCCACCCAACCTACCCTCTTCTCCGGAGAGCGTCTCCACCCTCAACAAACTGGGCCCCTCCTCTTCCTGTATAGTAGGGGACGATTCGGTGACAGATGAAGGTGTAGGCACCCTACGTACAGAATCTGCCTGTGTGAATAACATATTCGTACACATTACTACTACTACTACCAGCAGTCACCCAGCTTGATTCCTCCTCAAATGAGTCGTACCTAGTATCATCAACCACTGCGGCGGCGGCGGTAGTACCATAAGCTGCTTCCTGAGACTAGGGAAGATCCTGGTCCACTAATGAGTCCATCAGGCCACCTGCACAATAGTATTAGCCTTCCCTGGTAGAGTATAGTTGGACGGAACCATAGCAGGAGTGATAATGTCATGCTTTGATGATGGTGTAGTTGGGCCACTCTGATAACGATCAGGGCTATACCTAGGATAAGTACCTTTACCTGTAGAGTCCTTATTGGAGCCACTGCTGAGTGAACCTCCTCATTTGGGTAGTAGCAGCATACTGCCGAGCTAATGTTCGAGGGTGGGTACGCCGAGACTGATGTCCAATCATGGCTAGCTGCATTCCACTCACAGCCTACCTTCCTTACCCTCTCTAATGCAGCCCTCTATCAGCCTGCCTTCAAGGCCAGCCATTGGCTGCTGCTGTTGATGCTTCAGATGCAAGACCGCCGCCCCCTCAGGCCACTTGAGGTCATAGGCTTGGCTAGCCATAGAGCGTGCACTAGACATGGCACTCTGACTATCAGCCGACTGCAGCAGAGGGCAACCGAGGAGGGTAGTCAATGCGAGCAGTAGCCTACTCGATCGAGTAGTACCAACTCCTTCTTGGCCTGCTGTTCGGTAAACCTCGTGAACTCCTCCCGACTAGAAGCCAACTAACTGTACCCTAGTGGAGGGGTGAAGGGGGCGGAGTACTCACCGTCGCCAATGAGTCAGCCAATGCCAAGGCATTCTCCTCTTTGTCACGAAGAGCTTCCTCTAATTCCTTTACTATAGCCTCCTTCTGCCCACACAGCTCCTCACATGCCTCTCTTACCTCCTTGAGAGTAGTAGTTAGTCTATAAACCTACGATATAAACAATCCTGCAAATAGTAGACACCTCTAGTAGTACCTTCTCATTAGCCTCTATCGAGTAAACCTGCAGCCGTGCATCAACCCTAGATGAGATGGCCTCCACCAGAGCCAATAAGATCAATGCTGCACCAACGATGTAGTCGGAACCACACTCTGCCTCCTTCACATGGGCATCCTCCTCTACAGGCTGCTCGCTACATGGAATAGCCTGTAATGCTCGGACCTCCCCCTCTAGCTGAACTATATACTGCTCCAACTGCTGCCCCACTCTACTGCTCTCCATCGTGTTATTCAACTCGCGGTCCCTCATCCTGGCCAGGAGCTTCCTATCCTCAGCTGAATGCTCCTCTAGGGCCTTCAATGCTCCATAGACCCGTTTCAGCTCCTCTTGGAGCTCCTCCCTCTCGGCTAGCCACCCCACAGGAGCGACTTCAATGACTTCTTCCGTTGGTATAATGCTAGCAGCCGGCGTGGTCTCAGGTGGAATGGGGTCATGAGGAGCTGTATAGTATACATAGAAGCCGGTGAGTGATATGATGATGACAACTATTGCTACTAGAAAAGTAGCGTGAGTGGAGCTAATGCCTCCAGGAGAGTAATGATGGACAGAACCTGCCGCGTGGTGATATCTTATGTCGCCAATTACCTCTGTCACTACTGTATGGTTCGCCGCCTCTCCTTGGAGTCCGAATAGGCATACGATGGGAAGATGCATTATAGGTTCCATAGGAGCCTATGTAGAGGTCAATGAATGCAGCCCCGGTAGGTAGAGACTACTGTTGTTAGTATCGCGGAGCATGGCTGGTGTTGGCGCTACTTCCCTGCCGCTCACTGTACCTACTATTCTTGAGGAATATCGACGTCGAGCAGGGGTGGGGACCATTATAGATATCTATGTCAACGCACGCTTTGGATTCGCTCTCCAGGCTGGTGGATCCATGCTACAAAGTAGACATGCAATGTGATCAGTGTATTGACCTATTCTCTACCCCCATGTGCCAAGGCGATGAGGGACTCCTTCCCAGCACTAGGTCAATCCGGTTACCAGTGAGGGAGAGAGCCTTGAGACCATCGTGGTCAAGAGGGTATGCTATGCTCCTTAGAAGATGGGGGAGTGATGCCACTAGATTTCACAACATACTCACAGCGAAGCCGGTTTACAATTATTCTATGCTACACAGGAGCACTTCGATAGTGTACAGGAGGACACGATGTCAAGTGGCTGAGCCTGGAGTCCACAATGTAACAGCTGTTGGAACCAGCCTCTAGCAGCAATCATCAACTTAGGCTCTTAGCCGGATGATTGTACGGCAATCGACAATTGAATAAAGGGCTCGATGCCCTTTGTAAAATCCTAAGGCCGTGAGAAGATGTTTCGAAGGGTCAGTCGCTTGAGAATGCCGTAGTGAGGACGGCACTTTTCTACTGCCATACTATCAACACAATGCTCTGCGTAGCCTGTCCCTAACTTCAAGGACGTTGAGGAAACTCGAGTAGTTCCAAGTGGGCAAGAACTGTATATTTTCGAGCGACTGTGTTTCGTCTCAGTCAGGGGTATATAATTGCTTGTAAAATTGCTAATGCCTGCTGAACACACCTACTATTACAACATTCTGCATGTGCCTAGGAATGCATCACAGATGGAGATAAAGAAAGCCTATAAGAAGCAAGGTAGTAGTGACGGTGTACGGCAAGTAGTAGTAGATGGATGTGCTTCAGCGTTGAAGTGGCATCCTGATAAGAACCCTGCTGCTAGTCGTGAGACTGCTGAGAAGATGTTCAAGGAGGTACGCTGGATGATGATTACCCGTTGAAGCTAGCATGATGCAGGTAGCTGAGGCTTATGGGGTCCTCAGTGACCCAGAGAAGAAGCGCATATACGATGTATACGGCAAGAGGGGTCTGGAGAGGGGTGCTGGCTCTACTACATCAACTGCCTCGGCGAGGGGTCATGGAGGTGGGATCGTTAGTCTAGTGAGATGGTCCGATGTCGGTGCTCACCTCAGGATACCATCATTTCGATATGAATGATGCCTTCTCGGTCTTCGAACACTTCTTCGGTAGTCGCGATCCCTGGGAGCAGTTTGAGGATATGGTCAATGGCAATCTACAGAGAACGATGAGTTTTGGAAGGAGCGGTAGTGCAATGGGAAGTAAGCTTCGAAAACACGGTGGTTCGATCATCAGAGATTTCATTTCCTTCAGTGTCTGCCTTCAATGATCCCTTCTTCTCACAAGCATTCGGTGGTCGAAGCTCCTCACGGAGGACCAACTTTGCTAATTTCGGGAGCAGTGTCAGCTCTGACAGCTTTGCTAGGTCTACCACTTGGAATGCAGGTGGAAATATGAGCTCCGGGATGAGCCAAAGTAAGTCTATATTCACAAGGGTTCGGGTACATATTGATCTTGTGAGGTACATCCACTACTACTCGATCTGTGAACGGCCATACTGTGACTATCACTGAGAAAGTAGGCCATTGATGTTTTTATCCTCTTTATTATGGTTCTATCCACAGCAAATACGCCATCCCGACGGCAGAATTCACAGGTCAGTCACAGAGAAACGATACGATCCGCGTACAGGGCAGGTGAGTATTGGATGCATCTTACCCTCATCCTGAGAGTTCATACACCACCTCTCTTGTCAGACTCAAGAGCGTTCGATCGATGATACAGGTGACATGTCTAGAGGGTCACAGAGGTCTACTGTTAACAAGCGCTTGGCCTATGCATGAGTATCATCAAGAGCATCCTTCCCTAGCAGCTAATATTTAATTCACAGTCTACAGTTGTGTGTCAGGAGACTGTTGCCCGTTCACGTCAAGAAGGCTTATGTGTCTAAACCTTATTGAGAAGTACGATAGCTTGCGTCCCCTTCATACCATATGCCTATCACAAATACATTTTTTGAATTACTACTATAAACACCACATACTGACAAGATACTGTTGTTCTTCTTGATTTGCTTTAGAATGCTATTTGCCATGAGGCCTTGAGTTTACTTTTCAGTATGTCAAAACGTAAAGGTCCTGAAGCTCTCCTCTTGATGGGCGGCTGCTGCTCTCTGGCATTCATAGAGATTGTCCAACAAGCGTGATCATCTGAATCGAATCATGCAACTTGAATCACTTTGCAAAGGTCCCTATACAACTCGTCGGAATACTCATATAAACAGTAAATGACTGTAGTTGTGTAGAGGGCACAACTATGGAATCATAGTTTCACCTAAGAGCTTATTGATAATTGCATGAGTATGGTCGTAGAGAGAATCTCTAGATTACATTAACCATTGCCTTGAGTTCCCAAATGATTAACATTAATCTGCTGGAGACTGCGTCTATCGGTTTGGCACTCTACTTAACGAAATACTCAACAGAAAAATTGGGTTTCGGAAGCCATGTGAAGACTGGTGGTGATTGAAAAAGTAGTCGCCGAGGTAGATGGTCTTGACTGGTAATAAATCATCGCAATCGTCAGTCATCGAGTCTCGGTGCTCCTCATATCGAGAGAAGCTTTTCCACTGTCATCACTTCAATATCTCCTGTAGGCAAGGACGATGAGTGTACCGCCTACTTCTTGAAATATGCTGTATCAATAGATCTATTTGACCCGAACCGCACGGGTAACATCAACTCTCCCTCGCTCCAATAGAGCCGTGGAAGTCCAACATGATCAATCACGGTCTTTGGTATTCTATTGATCACATCATTAGGTATATGGACCCAGCATAATCTAGCCGAAATCTCTTGGCTCTTCGTCTTATAGGAGATATCTCCAAGAGAGTATGTTGTACCATTGTATGCCAAGCTCATATTGAAATGGGTTGAAGTGAAGTTGAAATCGCCAGTGAGCTTCGAAGGGCCTTCAACCTTCTTGAAGATCCCAGAGAGGGGCTCACAAGATGCACGGGCCTCGGCCTTAGCAGCAAGTAGTAGGATAATGATGGCGATCCACATGAGGATACTCAAATGAGTCTCGTGAGACAGGCTTGGAACAATAATCGTATTCTTATAATGAATTGGGGCCCTCATTTAAGTAATATTCTACCATTCTCGAATGCCACATGAATCCAAAGTAAGAATTCCGTACCAGGAATGTCACATCAGCGAAGTTAATTTACCCAGAATGCCTGACATCACTTTGTGTGTCGAGGGAAAATCCAAGGCAATCCGCTGCGTGAATCAGCTATATACGTGCGGACGAGGCAAGCTACTTCAACCATTGCGCTCATCGAAGAGGGTTGGTGTCCAGCACTGTGGTGCTACTATGTGTCTGGGAAATGTCGTAGGCCCACCCAGTCCACCCAGGGAGGTTGCACGGTAGGAACGTTTCCTCCCTGGCAAACGTTTCCTGGCAAGCTGCATCCACATGCACGATCCTGTGCGGCAAGTCTTCCAACACGGCCCTGCCCACAAGAGACAATAGAAATGGGATTGAGACAAGATCAAGGCAGTGGTGAAGGACGAGATGAGTGAGTGAACGAACTTTTTGGAGTCTCGAATTCGAACGTGCCAGTTTTCCCGTGAATGTACTGTATCATTTATCTCTCTACAGTACTGCTTGCGAGCTCCCCGCGATGTGACCGCACAAAGCTTGTACTGTCACATTGCCGGATTCACCTCGTCGACGGACTCGGCCCGTATTGGGAGGCTACTCAGCATCTCGTATCCGTTGAAGGTACTCACGGTTAAGTGGTTGAGAAACAAGACAATCATGGGTAAACAATATACCGCTACTTCCATGACTAATTCAATCGGGTTGGAGCAAACGGACAGCGGGTGCTCAAAACTATCTTCGCAACATATCAACTGCCAAGTGACAACCGAGCCACCTGACCAATATGCCACGAACTCATTTCATGAATTTCCAATGCTGCATGTCATGTTTGTTCTGTGCAAGTGTTTGTTAGGCTGTCTGCTCGATTGCCATTGCCGTAACAAGAGACTCATATCGTGGTTAGTCTGAGGTCAGTTCCGGTAAATAGGTGATGCCATCACCGTGATCAGTAAACTCGATTACTCATCGCTATGATGGATACAGGAGTTTGGTTACAAAACCTGAGTCGCTGAGACAATCAAACGGACAAAGCCGAGAGCGCAGGGAACTTGTGTCGTCGTCGAGCAAAGTAGCGCCGTTACAATAATGCAGAAAGTACGAACGCTAGCGACATCTATGAGGCACGCGGTAGCCGGTAGTGAGTTATTCTTTGCATGTATGTATCTTCCACTTCGCAGTAGCGCCACGCTATTAACGTCGCGAGTTTTATCTCCTCCCTCCCTCTCCCGGGTTGAATCACTCGGATGAGACAGCTCGTAGGCCGATCTGCCGAGGTCGACCTCGAGCTGGCCTCAACCCTGTAATTTGGCGGCCCGACGTGCGGGGGTTTCGGTTCAAGTTTAGTATTTCGACCGGAACACGTATTCAGAGTCCGCTGTCTTGTTTACCATACCAACCGGAGTAGGGGGGTTTCGTCCCGTTGACAACATCGCCGGATGCTTCTATGAGACATTGAAACGAACATCCCCGCATGCCACAAGCGTCAAGAGACTCGTGAGCACCAGACGAGTCTGGGTAACTACAGTAACCTACATTGTCTGGGATCGAACTGCCCAAAACGTGTGGAATGCATACATAGGCTACCTGAGCCCATACCCGCCCAGGTTTACACTGAATCGGACTCCTGGCCGAACGACCTCAGGATGCTCGGGTATTCTTCAATTCCTTCTCACAGAGTCTGGCATCTAGAAAATCCCGACCCCATGCGAGTCGCAAGGCGCGAGTGGCTTCGACCTCCGGGATGACATTGCACACGAGGCGATCGCCATCCAATCAGTAGTATGTCCCTTTACAAGAGCTGTCAGACTGTACAACACAAGCTGTGAACAACAGGAAATGTTTCTTTGGAGTGCTGTTCCGAGGTAGTTAGCCACGATGAACAGTCACCTTCTGTGCTTTAAAATGCTATGAGAGGTATCTTGATGTGTCCATTTGGGTTCCGCCCCAAGCTCGGTTGCATCCAGTTGATGGAGATTGGAACAGGCAGCAAGGATTTGTGAGCGGTAACTGAAGGGTAAGTAAGCAAAAGCACTGGCATGTTCCATCGCCATTCCAGTTGGGCGTACAGGGGAGGAGCATCAGTCTGGCACGGATTCCTTTCGAGATAGACGGTAGCGAGCTTAGGAAGCTCTTTGAGGGCCGCACAAACTTCTGCTAGATTCTCCACAGAGTTGTCGTTCATCCACAGCTCGACAACGGAAGAAGGTAAGGGTGGAATGGTAGCCATAACCTAGTCGGTGCTGTTATACCCGCCGCAGGTGGCTACTAGTGCTTACGTTCCCCGCCAAGTCAAGCTCCCACAACTTGCATAACTGCTTCAGAATATTGGAACTACCTTGTAGGGTAGGCATTTGGTTGTGTGCGAGATGCCTGCCGAATATAAACCGCGAACTATGTGTCGAAAGATAAAGATGGCCCGTCCACTCACAACTGCTCAATATTCGTGGCCTCAAGTATTGAGTGTTCCCCTGCTGATACAGTCCAGGCTGTAACACGGTTGCTGGACATGCTTGCTATTCTCAGTGACTCCGGTACCTCGCACGAGTTAAAGTTAATCGGATACCATCTCAAAGGCAGCCTCAACTCACTTTATCACACTCCAAAGACTCGATCTTGTTCCTTCCGATCCATAACTCTTCGAGCTTGGGTAGATTATGCAGATTCTCGATCTTCCGTATCTTGTTGCTACCGAGCTCTAGTAAGACGAGATTCGGCAAGTAAGGTAAGTCTTCCATAGTCGTTATTTTGTTATTGGCTAGGTAAAGCTTCTCAAGGTTAACCAAGCTGGAGATACCCTGAGGAAGGAGGATTCGGAAGTAATTCATTTAGCCGTCCAACAGCTGGGGATACCAAAGCGCTCACCTCAATCTTCCTTATCTTGTTGAAGCTCAAGTCGAGCACTCGCAGGTTAACCAAATGGTTTAAGTTTTCCATTATTCGTATGTGGTTCTGGTACAGCTCTAGATGTTCCCTGAAAGGGAATCACTGCCTTTTCAACTCGCCGCCAGCACCCAACATACAGTGCCTTGCATTCCTCTAGACCTTCGAGCTTCTTTATGTCATTGGCGATCAGCTTCAACGACTTCAACTTCCGGCCTGGGATCAGAATGGTGTTGGATTACGATTCTCAGGAGCCATGACCTACACTTTTCGAGATTCTCGAGTTTGCCCACTCGTAGATAGCTCACATCTATCTCTTCCTGATCTTCTGTGAGCTCAACATCCTCGCCCAAACGGTAGATGGTCGCACCCTCGTCACTCCCGTTAGTCTCCACAGACGAAACTTGTTGGACGGATGGCGATGACATAAACACTTATCAAAACTCCCTGTGTCTGTTATGAGTACAATTAACGGCTAAGAGAGTGAAATACCCCCCTAAAACAACGCTTAAACGGTTCGTGAAGAAGCATCTCATGAATAGGCGACAACTTCGTAATATACACCAGAATTAAAAACGCATGATCGACGTTTCTGCATTCTTGCTGCTGCAACAACCACTGTGAGTGAGGGAGGCAGGGGACCACTACACACGTCGCTCTAACTCGGGTTCATGGAAGGCAGTTTCGAAGGATGTTGGCACATTGACAACAGGTCTTTCTGGGAGGGACTCGCAGCACGGATTATCCTTTGGGCATTTGCCGATGCCAGGGCAACAGTCTAGTTGAGATGACCGAGATACTATAGCGAACCATGCGCTATACGACTTCAACACTTGACAGAATTCGGCTTGGGCGTACCTAGATGAGTTCACGAGGAGGTTGAACAGTAAACCAGGCTGCGAGCTTACTGCATGTAGATGCGATGGTTTCTGTCGACCAAAAAGGTACACTTCGTTGATGACGCTGTTGGAGCCCTGAGAAAAGGAATTACGCAATGTAATAAACACGCCGCTTTCACCCAGCTTGCTCGATCAACTTCTGGGCATGGGACGAACCCAAGCATGCTTCTACCAACGACAAAACAAGTGAGTAACTAAGATTCAATCAGAATCGAACTAATAGAGCGGAGATTTGCGGGGGCACATTTGAGCATCCTGCTGATATGAATCTTCAAGTACAGCCATATCCTCCACAAGGGACTCTTCGAATGATGATGGTGAACAGATCTCTGCGCTGCTGAACAACAGATACCATCATTGTTACATGTTCCAGCAAGCCGCATGAACTCACACTCGGTAGGCATGGACGAGTTGGAAAAGGAGCACAAGTTGGAACAGTTTCCTAACTAGTGGAGACCAGTGTAGGAGCATGTCAGGACCGTGCTTATCATTAAGGAGGATACCGGTGACTATGGCCTCACGATGAGCACCACCAAATGACTGTAAGTTTCGATACCTGCGATTTGTTGGTATAAAGCAAGCTCGTCAACTTACAACAGCCATAGGCACTGTGCCTTAGTTGAGACAATATCAGTATGGACAAGTATACGCCGTATACCGATGCTCATGAAGCGATGATCAAAGTTATCCGGCAGGACCGCGAAGTGAACCTAAGTACACCGTAGCTGCTTGCCGTCAACACAACGGCTAATGATACCGTCTGCGATAAGATCAGCTTTCGTCTCGTTGATGCTGATATCGCATTCACAGCAGCCTGCTCTTGTCCTCCGTTCTCATTCAGGGCGTTGCCGGGGTTCCATCTGAGGCCATACCCACTGTTGTACTCAGATGGTTCCTTTTCACAATGACTGCTCCCTACTGTCTGACCACAGTGAGCCAGAAGTCCAAATACGTGAGTGCATCGTAAACACTGCCTTGGACGTATACATTAGTCCCTGGCAGATATTATAAATCATCACACGTCGTTGGATTTGCTCTACGGATCCAGCAAGCCTTCGTGAATGCATTGAGCAGTCTGGGATTCACAGCCAGCAGCGCCCCACAAGCTGATACCAGTCCGTCGGGGAGCCCCGCCGGAGTTGAAGAGTAACGCTGGAGATCTAGGACTACTGCTTTAACCAACCATACGTACCTATGAGATCTATCCCATCCAACCAGCCTGGAAGAAAGATCCTCAAGGTGCGAGATGCTGCTTGTCGCAACAGCGCAACGATATGGTGTTAGCAGCATATACCCTGGTATTGTGTGCCACTGTAAAGTTCTGGACAAGTTAGCTCCGCCGAGAGTCTGACGGACGTGTTTAATCCAGTTGATGAGGAAACTATGAAAACATCTCGTTCGGAGACCTGCGAGGAAAGCGTCTACGACGTTGCTGCTTTGAAAGGGAGCAGATACTCAAGAGTCGTCGCCATCTGGCATCCTCGAACGACGACTTCCGCCCTGTACGTTGCTGCTGGATATGTAGATCGTGGAGAAGAGATTCTCGCCCCCAGTAGTTATCGACTAGTTCATGGAAAGATGACCAGTCTAGCACTAGTTTCAAGTCACACACAGGATACCTCAAAAGGCAACAACTCCGACAACATCATCATCATAGCAATGGTCTCACCAAGCTTGATTCATCCTTAATGAAACAGCATCTATATCAAAGGCTGTGCCTGATGATAGTCCTTGTGCCCAGGCTAGAGCGACGATCTCTATACCTCGCCATTCCTCAGCATTGATATGCTGATTCTGGTCTCGTGGAGGGAGGATAGCAGACAACAGCTCGAGACCAAAGCTGGGAATACGGAAGTAAAGGATTGCTATAAGGACGGCTGAGGAGAAGGGCCACATAAGGCAGTAGTCCTCAGCAACTAAGTAGTCTCACTCAAGTATTTCCTCACGTCTACATTAGGCTCAATCTTTTGATTCATCCATAGTAACGTATGATCGAGTAGCTTATGGAGCAGCAACCAGACTTGCCGACAGGTCCTCATCTTGCGATGCACCAATAGGACAGCGCGGGCTTCCTCAGGTGTCAAGAGACAGCCCTTTGGGGATGAGGGTCTTCAAGGTAATATGGATACATCTAAGACCGTTGGCAGATGACTCACTCTGGCGTTGCTAACTGTGCCCCCGATCTGCATGCAAAAGCGATGAAGCGGTCCAGAGCTCTGTGCCGGGTTTTAACAGAGCCTTTCACAGGAACATCCCATACCGTCAGTTTGGGCTTCCCAGGCACCTCTCAATTTTGTGCCGCCCTTCTCGGTCTCTTTATCGATGGCCTCAGTACTGTTACGTCGTTGCGAGCCTTTATCACTAACGAGCTCAGACATCTCAACGCCTGCTGACGGTTCCAAGGACAGAGGAGTAAGATGAGTCCTTACCCAGTTCCACGTCTTTACAGATCGCACTATGCAACCTAGGGTACTCCCCTTCACATCGTTTAGCCAAGTGCTTTAGTAGTGCGATCTGAGTCACGAGGCTGTACCGTATTGTGAGCGTCGGAATATACGTTTGCTTCCTCAGTTCACTCGTTATGTAAGTTAACATACGAATTCGGGTAGAAGTGTACAGGAACCGATGAGAATTTCCTCAGAAATTTCATTTTGTCACCAACACATGTAGTTGATCATGTGAACAATTTCCCACACTGGGTATAGTAGACGGTACATCAGTTGGATCTAGTCTCTTCCTCTTGCTAGCCGGCTTGACCTGATCCTTCGAGGGGACCACGAGGCCTATCACACTTGAGTTTCAAGTCGAAGATAAGGGCTTGTGTGTGTCGTCTACTTGAATCATCGTTACCAGGAACAGGAGCACGAGCCTTGCTTATGGCACTGCAAAGCAGGCGGCAATCAGGCGAGTAGAGGCCATGAGCTCCTGATGGTTATCGTAATGGAAGCAATTGAGGAAACGCTACTGGAATCCGCCTGGACTGTTGCACTCGTGAGCAGTGCCTCAGGTAGGAGCATCGGGAAGTCGATCTCTTGCCGTCGAAATATGAGTAGAAGCACCTGTGATGACTTCAGCTGCCCACAGAGCGCCACAGCGAGCCATGTACAGCATAGTAGGACTGCTGAGTCTCCCATGGGAGCTTTTCTGCATGTTCCAAGATATGATTGGCTAAATTGATAAACACATGTTGAGACATAACAAGGGCGTCCTCTGAGGGATACACGAATGCCCGGGATTCCTGTGCCTGAGCCGATGTTTGGTCTCCAAGCCAGATGCCGATGGACCCGTCCAACTTACTGCTGCTGCATCACTGCTATTCCCTGTAGAGCTACTGAAAGCGTCATTCCTACAGGCCTTGAGGTCACGTTGGATATCCTTCAGGATGCGCTGACGATCCGTGGTACCAGTCGGGCCACCTTCACAATGACTGTTGGCAACAACACTAAACTACTCAACTTACGAGCCGAATGAAGGACCTTCTTCCCGAGCTCTCGGGCGGCACTTCTGGACAGTGACTGAGGTCGCAGTACATCAATATAGAGAGAACTGGTATCTACATTCACGGGCGGCGCTGTAGTAGGTCTGGACTGTGGGGCCTCGAACATGTGCTCAAGGAGTCTCTTATGGTTAGTCGCTATGCTCCGTACCTTGCGGGGAACTTCATACAAGGTTACTATCGACAGAGAGACCAACCTGTGATGAAAGATCGGCAATGATCCTATTGCCGCTCTTCTTGCCTTTATCAGTGAAGTACATGACGTTGTCAAAGTCAACCAAGCGACTGATCTCCCCTAGTATGATCGGGGACACTCGTTGAATGCCACGCTCGGTCCCTGAAAATACATAGTTACAACTAGCAGCAAACGATAACGCCTACTGACACCAGCGGCTAGCTGGGATAAAACTGGGTTATTCTGGAAAACGAAGACACAGGCAACTGTACCCACGATGTGACCAGCATGCTGAAGATGACCCTTGAACCTGGTTGAGGGAAAGTACGAAAATGCCCATTCATCCTTACCCGTGTGGGGGAAAACTACGTGGAGGATCAACTACATGCGTCGGTGACAATATGAAAATTATGAAGACATTTTGGGAAATTCTCGTTAACCTTTGTACACTTCTACCTCAAGTCGTGTCTTAATTACATAATGAGTGAGGAAACTCATGCGATGAGCCAAGGGAAACAAACGCTGGTCCTTACACAGATGCCTGGAAGCGATGACGATCTGTGAGTTGCTGATCTAGGGGGATGTCATCGACCGTCGTCCCATCGGCGACCACAGTGTCGATAGAATGGACTGTAGTTGGGCGGCGGCGGCGGCGCAGTTCCGTGTTAGGCACGGTCGAGGACGCTGAGTCGCCCCGATGCCCCACCGATGCTCCTGATGACAGATGACTGCCAGGATCATAAAGAGGGAACTCACTGACGATCTTGGAAAAGGGCACCCAAGTCTCGCCGAAGATCCTCTCAGTCTCCACACCACCCTGTATAGCGTCACCACTCGACGTCTTGGTCCGATCCCGACAGTGCGCGACGATCCTCACATCGTTTACATCAACCACAAGGTACTGCTGTCTATGGATGCTTACCTTATATGATGCCGATTAAGATTCTCCAGAGTAGTCCGGAGTTGTATGATCGGTAACACGTTTTGATCCAAAACCTAGAGAGCTAGAGTATAGACGAGACATTCGACGTGTACAGTCAGCAGTCCTACAGGGGCGATGGAGCATCCTTTCCGGGACAACTGTCCTAGCCTCTCCAGATGGTGCTCACTCAACAGGCCCAACGCGGCTTGGTGGATATCATCAGAAGTGACCAACTCTCTAAGAGATTTCCGTAGCGTCTACAATGACATCAGCATCAATTCAGCAGTGTGAGTCCAAGCCGGACCACCTGAGTCAAGGTAGGGGTCCTCCCCTCTTCCACTGCGGGACCCTTAGCAGAGACTATATGTCCATCCCCATCACGATCAACCACGAGCTTTTTGCCCATAGTCAACATCCCAGAGATACCATCGTTCTTGCTGTATCCTTCACAAGCAGTCAATGTGCCGGTTCCCATCCCAGTACTAACGATTTCGTTAGCTGAGTAAAGCCGATCGAAGGATGTGACATCAGGATAGCTTCTGCTCACTCTTCCTCAGCTCCTCAGAGATCATTCGAGTTATCCACCTCATGTCGGCACTGTCCGGAGTCCCGCTCTGAGGGTGTGCTGCTGACTGCACCGGGAACTCCTCTAAATGATCATGTAAAACCTGAGCATTACATACTGTTTATAAAACAACAATTCTGAAGTACTTTATACCTCCTCGAGTTTAGCCTCATCGACAGCGTCCCAAAGGGGGTCTATACCTGATGATGGACATACCATACGACCATCAAAGGGTGGTGTGGGGACGCTTACACATCTCGGACCAGCAAGCTGGAAATGAGGATTCTTTCGATCGTGCTCCGTTATTGATAACGAATGACACCTAGCGGTATATTTGCCAATCAACCAAGGACGAACAGCAGAAGTGTCTGACCTTCCATTCGAAGCGTTGGAGATCAGTAGAATCGTGAGTACCGAAGACCGTTGAATCGAGAGAAGTAGGTAAGTCCACAACGCCACCACCACCACGATCTGACCACCGCCATAGGAACAGACAACTTTGTACTTATGCCTCACCAGAGCTCGTGCCGAGAGGACGGGGCAACTCGTGCGAGTCCGCGACAGTTTCCGATGAGCGTTCGGAAAAGACAAAGTTGACATTGCTATCTAAAGACCATTCTAAGGTACTGAGTGACTGAGTGATGGTAAGAAGGCAATAGTGATCGATGCTCCCACTTTGCTCGAAAAGGCATGCGATAGGAGAGATCTGCATGTCGCACATCTGGTCAACACTGATGTTCATCTGTACCCGGGCCTTGAGATCATTCCCACATACCCTTGACCTCATGGCCATATCATGATGGACCTATCATCCCACTCGAGCTCAGGCTCCAGCACCTCCACCCCACCGGCCCTGTAGCGATATCCTCGATCCCTATACAGCAAGAAGCCACAGTAATACGCCTCCGCGAGGACGGCCGCTGCTGCCTCTCCTCGCTCCTCACTGCCTGCTGCTCAGCTGACAGCAGAGGGAAGACCTCGACAGCGCGTGGCCGACTGCGTGCCTCACTCGCTTCGCTCACCGCGACACTTGCTATGCTAGACTGTGTAGCATCACGATGAACATCCAGAAGTAACTACCACGGACGGTGCAGAACGGGAAGATGAGACTTCGCCGCTACATCATCCTCAACTCTCATCAGCTTTAATATAAAGTTCATATCCTGTAGAGAACCTATCATGACGTTCTACCATCACAATTGGGTACTGAGCCTACCAGTCGTCCATCGAAATCTTGATACGACTTCTGGCCACTCCGGTTGGTCAGTTCCATGGCACACTTTAGTTTGATATCTATGCTTACCACTACCCCAATCCAAACGAAGGTAATAGTCACCTGCAAGCATTGCTCACAGTGGAGGAGGATGGCCCAACAGGACTGCCTACCCATCTTGTCAAGACCTGTTACCCTCACGGCCGATATCGCCACCAGGAACTCCATTAACTTTTCACCAGCACCCTTCTCCGGTGAAGTGAAGGTAGGAGGAGGGGCCGTAGAAGGGAAGCCCTTCGATGCATTCCAGTACAGTGATGAAGCGTTCGCTACTTCCCCGATTGCATCAACATCAAGGCTATCATAGTCGCTCAGTGTCAATGAACTCTGACGGCTCGGAGACACCACCGAGGAAGCGGGATTACGATGGTTGGACTGAGCAAGGTCACTTCCTCAGGTGGTATCGACGTGAAGAGCACCCACCGATATGCTGCCGACCTCCCAAGCATCGAAATTACTCGCTTTAGAGAAAGCATTCGCCTCTTCCCAGTCCTCATCCCCACCAGAGCTCTCAGAGACTACAGACCCTCTTTCGTCGTCGTTTGCATAAGGACCTTCGCAGGACTGGAACTAGGGTATAGTACTCAACCCACTATGCAAGGAAGCGATATGAATATGGTTGATATCCTCAACGCCCGTGTCAGAGGCTTTCCTATCTAAAAACAGCCTCGAGTTGTCAGCAACACCGACATCCCAGACTTACAGCTATCCGCCACTTCCCGTTTTCGCGAGGTAGTTGAGCCCATTGATCAGCCAATGACCAGGAGAGTTCCACTACGGACTATTAACTCAATACAACTGT